TAGACTACAACTGAATCATGTTGAATAGATGTTTTAAAATTATTTTTAAAAGTTAAATGCGTTTAGCATAAATAATTATATAATTTAGTTCAAGATTCTTGAGAAAATCAAAGTTGGAGTATATTGATCAATACTATCGTTTGTATTATTTGTGACCTAAAGCCGACTTCTTAACGCAATTTTTGAAAAAAATTAGAGATATTTCTTTATTAGTGACATATTAAGTGCATTACTTTATAACAACAGAAAAAAATACATGTTTGTTGTTCATCTTAATATATGACAACATCGTATATGATACCGAAGATTATTTACAGAAGATATTCCTCTTGAAGATTTTGTTTCACCTTGTCGAATTTAATACGCGTCCAAAATATCTTGTTGGGCAACTTGGCTTCGTGAAATTCAGCCAATTCTTGTGAAAATTTTCACATGAACCACCGCTAATACATTTGTTGTTTATTCGTTAAATTTTTACAAATATTCCAAGATCCAAAAGTCAAGTTTTCTGCTTCCAGTTGCTTGTGTATTTATCTTTTCTGTTTCGTCACTGGCCTTTGAAATAGCAGAAAAAACTTTGTCTTCAAACCTTTTAACTTCGTTTTTGAGAAGTGAGTCGACAGAGGCAGGAATTCTTTCCAAACAGAATTTTTCAATTGATTCCATCAATTTTGTTCTGAGAAATCCAAGCTGATTTTCAAAATAAGGAATGTATGGATCAAACTTACCTTCTTCTCCAAGCTGAATGAGGACCCGGGCATGAAATTGACTTTTATTCTGAAACTTATTCTCCTTCGATATTTCTCTTGTCACAACAGGACCCATAGACGAATTCAGTGCGGATTTAATTTAGTTTTCAAGAACGTCGCCAAACGAAGTAGCTGCCAGCATTTCCTTTCCCATTTTCCTGCAAACATTAAGGAAATATTGTTGCAATCTTGGACGCAGGTCCTTCTCCATCTGACTTCTAATGTCTCGTTCTTGGCAAAAGCGTTCTTCCATCTCGTGAAATATTGGGTAAGCCTTGGCGAAAGTGTGAAGCAAAGTATCACATTGCAAAGAATTCTTGAATTTGAAGGGGAATTCCTTGGTGGCTTCCTCAATGGTGGAAATCACAATCTGGGTCATTTGTATGATGTAATTACAATTAAACCTATTCCCCGGTTCTGAAGAAGCACTTCTCGCTAAATGAAGTGCTTTCGTTATCGAAGTTTTCCTTATACGTTTAGCGTCAGGGAGATGTCTTAATTTTTCTGCATTCTGCACCCGTGATGGAGCCATTTTAAAAAATCCCATCCATTTAATCTCAAAAGTAAGGTCATCAACAACAATATCGCCTTCGCTGTCCAGATAATTTGATATAATATCACCTTGTTTATCTATTTTTTCTCTGATTTCTTGACTTAGGACAGGAATTTTCGTGGAAAGATAATCTACAATTTCTTTGTTTATATCAATTTTTATTTCTTGACAAGGTGGAACTTTCTCAATCCACTTCTGCCATTGTTCGTCGAAAGCTTCATTCATTTTTTCCGTATCTTCAATATCATAGGCTGAAGTAATAAACGACTTAGCATTTTCGAGAAGCTCTTCTTCATAGTTGCGTCCCTTATCTTTGATATCTTGTACTCTCTGCAAGTGATTAAAAGTTGACAAGCATTTCTTCTTTACTTCCAAGATGTGTATTTCTTTCTCTTCTTTAATTTTAGTCAATGTGTGTTCTTTCCACTGTTCAACAGTTGTCTTATCTTCATCCGTTTCGAAGAAGTCGTTCATTTCTTGCGCCATTTTCCCTGCAAGATCTTCAGCTTCTTCATCTATTTTCGTTCTACTGTCTGCCCATCGCTTTTCACGCTCATCTGCTGTTAAACATCTTTCTAGAGCAACTATAATTCTTCTTTCAAACTCGGCCATTCCTGCTACCATAATAGCCACGGATTTCTCGAAATATTTTCGATCTAAAGACATGCGAGCTCTAACTTCGATCGTATTACGGAGACTAAATATGAAATCTTCCTTTAGAATAGCTTTCCAAAGGTTGATGACTCTCTTTCGAAATTGAGATACAGTATGATAAGCGCTTCGCTTTGAACACATCACGGCAATTACTTCTTTCTTTATTTTTTGAACCGCTTCTCCGTATTTAGGGTTCACTGGAGCCATTGGCGGATTTCCTTTCAGAAGGGAGGGTAAATAGAACACGTCTTCGTTTTCATTGAATGAAATGATATCATTAAATTTGTTGTATTTGTCATCACATTTTTCTTGAATTGCAGCAAGTTTCGTCATTTCATCCAGACCTTGTCTGAGGTTAAAACGGTTGTCAACCAATTTCTCTGTTGCATTAGTGGCTGTGACATTTTGGTGGACAAATTTGCAAGACTTTTTCTTTTTTTCCTCTACAAGCTTCATTTTCAAGAAAGCATGTACAGCTATTTCCAAGAAATCTTTCATCGTATTGTGATTCTCACCAAAGATATTCACAATAGTTAAATCTGCAACGCCAATTGCAAAGGTTGCCAACTCATTATCATGTACTCGTAACTGAGGATCTGCTGATCCTCTTAGACCTTCAGTATCAATGATCAAAACATAATCAAACTTTGAAGCTGACTTAAGGGAATCACTGACAGGAAGAAGACTAGCAAAAACGCCACGAGTACATCTTCCAGCACTGACTGGAAATTCCAAACCAAACATTGTGTTTAACATTGTTGACTTACCTGAACTTTGGATTCCTACAACGGAAATTACAAATATTTTTGCATTTTTTGTTTTCTGCTCTAGTTTAGTAAACACAGCTTCAAACCATCGCGGTTGAATGTAAAATGAATCGCCATCCAGTATCTCAAGAGGTTGTCCTGAAAGCAACATGTCTGCTGCAGCACCTGCATAGTCGTATTCGCTTTCTTCAATCTCGTAAAGCTGAGCAAGTTCTCTAATGATGTGTTCTAAACCAAACGAGTGTTTTGAGATCGATTCCTTCAATTCTTTTAAACGTTTCTCTTCAGGAACTTGTGTGTTTACTGTTTCCAATCCTTCGTCTTTTCGTGTGTTCTTCCGTTGAAGGTCAAGTGAGAGAGAGCAATATTCTTGGTGCAATTTTGTAATGACCTCCAAAGACATCTTATCCAATCGATGTTTTAATTTATTCAAGGCTTGATTTCGCTCCGTTTCATTCATATTTGCCAAAGATTTGAAACAATAAATAATCTTTTCATCTAGATGTTTGAAAGATTCTTTTCGAGCTAACTCGTTTTCCCCGATTCTTTCCTGTATTTCGTTTTGATATTCTTCAACAGATTTGCCGTCACGGTGTTTTTGACGATGTAACTCACGTTCCAATTTTGCGAATTCAGGTACGTTCTTTTGCAAACTAAGAAGGTTTTTAGCATCTTCGATCTTCATTTTCAACCAGTCGTCTGCAGCTTTTGAAAACAGTGTGTTTTCTTGATTGTCATCATGTTGAATCCCAGATTCGCTTGTCCAAGATGCAAAATCGACCAGAGGCTTCGCCGTCACATTGTTTATATTCTTTTGAATGCTATTTCGAATAGTTTGAAGAAAATCATATTCATTGGGTTTTTTGGCTTTCGTTATGAAGGAAACCATTTTACCGTATTTTTTTTTTAATCCTTTTAAGTATTTTTTATGTGCTTCTTCATTTGTATGTGATTTTTCATTCGCATGTGCCTTTTCGCAAAAGATGACAACAGGTTTTGCTCCGCTAAAGGTAGCCTTTTCAATAATATCCGTCAAATTTTCAACAGGACACTCCGAGGGTAGGACTACACATACAACGGACGAAATCTTCAATATTACATTAAGCTGGATCTTGAAATTTCCAGCGTCACCCCGGAGATTTGCAAAACAAATTTCTTGTTGTAGTATTTGTTCACGATTCTCACCAGGAAGATACCAGCTCAATTCGACCAAACCATCGACAACTTTTCTTTCAATATTGCCACCTTTCATATCTTTGTGGAAGAAAAATCTATGGTCTGTGCTTCCATCGCTCATTATTTTGTTAATCAAGGAGGATTTTGACATGGTAGTTTGGTCAATACGGATGAAAGAAACCACAGGAAATTGATGTTCTGTCGCAAATACATGTCGTACGTTCTTGTTGTCATCTAAACCACTACTCCAAGACTTTGTGATATTCTCTAGAGCTGAGAGCAAAATCGTGACCTTTTCGGAAGGAGCTCCAGGATCGGGCAGAAGAAACGGAACGCTAAGTTGACATTCAGACAATTTTACAGCAATATATCGTCGTAAAGAAATATCGGAACAATAAAAAATACCAATCAATGCATCCATCGGATGGACTAAAGTTTCATCGGCATCAACAAATTCATCCTCGCTGTCATCAGAGTCGTAATTATTGTTGGTTTTACATTTATTTAAAGGTAATTCAAGAACATTGTAATCAGCTATCATGAGTTTATTGAAAATATATTGAGGTATTTGATCTAAACAGGTTAATTGATCATCGGTAAGTGTGTGGTTATCGATTGTTCGTGCTTGTTTTAAAGAATATTTAGGTTTTAAATTAAGATCAGCCCGGAGTGTTGATAGTGCAGTGCTAGAAGTTGAGCATGTATCGTGTGCTTTTGTTGTCTCAGATTCGGCAGGTGTTGCTAAAGTATCTGTAGATCTAGTTTGGATGCCTGGCTGATTCCCGCCTGTTTTTGAACCAGGAGGACATTCTTTACCAGAGAGATTTGCACCTGGCGCTACAATAAGAAAATTAAGCTTGGTCCAGCTGCAAAGTTTTTATAAATTTGGGGCAAATGCATTAAAAGGAGGATAAGTTGTTTCAACTGAATATATATCTATCATTATAAACTAATCTAGCTTTTCAACATGCTACTGACAAAATCTGGTTTCGCAACATACAGCTGAACTCTCCGGCATATTTCACAAAACCGCGAACGGTAAAATTCAAGTCGAATTTTGCAGGGTACAGATTGGCAGTTGTAATAAAGTATAATAAAGTCTTATCAGTTAACAAAGGTATACAATGCAGCTTAGGATGTAATTTATTTACTTAGTTTCAAAATTTTTAGGGGCAATCCATATATAGTTGAAATGGAAACCGGAATCCACGTGCTGGGATTCGGAAGCTAATAACCGCAGTAGATTCCTTGGGAATTTTTCTTTAAGCTGCCAAAAGCGGTAATATTCTCAATTGAAATAGAGTATTTTATTAAAAACAAAGCGGTGAAACTGCATTTCTCATGCTAGGCAGCCGTAAATAACGATAAACTTGAATGCAGAAACCTATCTGTACTGAAATTCAATCATTCTGACAGTTTTTACCATATACAGGAAAGCGCGCTTTTAAATAGGGCAAATTTGTCGGAATATTTCTCATAGGTCTATTTTGACTCAAATCGGTGCAGCTTCAGACTATATGATTTTACCAGTAATTAACGATACAGTTGATAATATTTTCGTTACATGCACTATACCAGTTTCGTCCACATGTTCCTTTGGTGACTTTTCTGATTTTGGGTGGTTTGAACCAGATGCGTTTGCTGATTTTTCATTTTTTTTCTTTTTCTCCTTCCATGCTGCTGCAAAATAGAAATTGAGCCGTTCATTGTTTGCAATATTCTACTGTATTTTATATAAATCAAATGTTGTATAACAATTAACTGCCTGAAATGTGTATAATTCCACTCGAAATGAAGACCCTTTAAACCCCTAGAATTTACATGCAACGAGTGAAGTACCAAAAATCACTAGTAGAGTAGCCTATGCTTGATGATATTCAACTAAACAAACTGATATCACCTATAATTTGATATTACCAGGAATGTCTTTGATATTTCGCGGAATCTTGCAACCGCACACACACACAGATATAACAAGACACTTACAAAATTTTGGCGTTTCCAAATCGTTTTTCAGGTCTATTTTATTGTTTAAACGCCCTGTTCATACGACCCAAGAAAAAATATGCTGAACGTGTTTAAATTATCTTCAACTTCTATTGTAAATTGACGGTGTTTGAAACGCTCGACTGCGCAGGCGTTATATACCATATATTATTCAAGTATATTATTATATTTATATTTATGAAAATAAACGCACTTGCTGAATATGATCCGATATTGATAGCATTGCCAGTGGCAATGAAGCCACGTTTTTGATCTAGTAATTCTGTATCATTTGTGTTGCTGGCTTCAAAAGACGTGTCTTCGTCGAAAGCCGTCGATTTTGTGTACAATATCTCAAAATCTAGCAGCTATTTCAGCTATTTATAAAGAGCTAAAATAAAAGGACAAACTGGCACATACATGCTTGTATATATTAGGTTTGTTACTAGTAACTTTGAGAATGAAGACCAATAGGCAACGCCAGAATAAACGCAGTCGCATATTTATTATCACTTGCATATAAATGTAATACATGCAGTATAGTGATAATAACAGCAGCTGGGCTTTGTCCTCGATATGCAGATGTTGCGGTGCATGCAAGACGGCATATAGCTACTTATAATGGCTATATAGTGGTTTTAAACGAAGCGCGAATGACGTCTGAAAGGCAACGTTTGAACTGCACATTTTTTTACAAAATGGTGGTAGATATACTATACTCAGTCTATCAGCCTACTCGCACTGTAATATTTCAATCTACTTACATTAAATTCTCGTACTTTTACTAAATTTCACTGGCCTTCTGATCTTTGCACACAATTAAACTTTCATATATACATTTGCAAGCATACATTGGCAGTTTACTACGTATTTCAGGTCAGGACGACATTTAGGATCGTTCATACATCAATAATACCCTTGTGTTTCTTTGTACTTCGCTCATCAACTGAGTGGATACCTGAGAAACCCCAAAGCGAGGGTTACTTTCGATTTTACAGATAAGTTAATGAATAATATATTATTCATGAGTATACATGGGCTGAATGAAGAGCAAAGCTTGGGACAATTGTAGTGCCCTAATTTGAATTCTAAATTCCTAGGTCGATGAAAATGATTGATTTTTCTCCACTAGGTTAGTTTATTCGCGCGACACGAAGCGATTGGTCTGCAAAAAATCAGTCGCCGCAAAAAAAATAACACGAAGACAACAGCTATAATAAACAATGTAGATCTCCAATTACACTTTCATTATTTGAATGCAAATTGGATTGCAAAGTGCACGAGGTGTGAATAAGATCAAAATTCAAGAAGGGTTTATATTCAGGTAAAATGCAACATCATTTTAAAAAGTAAGGTGAAAGATTCACTTAGATTCACTTCAATCTCACCCAGCAGAACTGATTCAGGTCAGACGTTCAACAAGTTCATTTAAGGCCTAAAATTATGCTTATGTAATCTAATACCTGAGAACTACAAGTCACCGAAGTCCTAATCTCTATAGTGTCAATCTTTAGCGTCTTTATTCAAGCTTTCTACCGCTGACATAATCGACTTAAATACAACAGAAACCTGATTTCTTATTTCTCCCCAGTCTCTCGAAGTCTCATTGCTCGGAATCATGAGATCAATAATGCCGGGAAAATGCGCACTGCCATAGTTGTTGTTGGATGGTGGCGCAAAAATAACGTGTCGAGTGAAGCTTTGATTTGGAAGACCAAAACTGTAAATGAAAGATTTCTCCACGTTCACCATTCTGTCATTTAGATCACGTAGTTGAATGTCGTTCATACTTTTCAGGGCTGTTTCCACCTCTTTCTGGAACTTCAGAGACGCGTTGTGGAATCTGCATAAGAAGGAGAACTGATTTCTGATGTGTACTGTGCTGTACTGTGTTGTAGTGTGTTGTAGTGTGTTGTAGTGTGTTGTAGTGTGCTGTAGTGTGTTGTAGTGTGTTGTAGTGTGTTGCAGTGTGTTGCAGTGTGTTGTAGTGTGTTGTAGTGTGTTGTAGTGTGCTTTACTGTGTTGCAGTGTGCTGTACTGTTTTGTAGTGTGCTGTACTGTGTTGTACTGTGTTGTAGTGTGCTGTACTGTTTTGTAGTGTGTTGTACTGTGTTGTGCTGTGTTGTAGTGTGCTTTACTGTGTTGCAGTGTGCTGTACTGTTTTGTAGTGTGCTGTACTGTGTTTAGTGTGTTGTACTGTATTGCACTGTACTATAGTATGTTGCACTTTACTACATTGAACTTTAATGTATTGTAATGTACTGTAATGTATTGTACAGCTGTACTCTAATGCACTGTACCGCGTTGCACTGTACTGCATTGTACTTTGATGTACTATACTGATGTTCTGTACTGTGCTTTGATGTACTTTATAGTGTGGTACTGCACTGTTAATATACGGCAATTACTATGGGACATTATAAAGGGCTATACAGTACTATTATACAGTACAATACAGTACCATACGACACCATACGTTACTAATGGATTGTGACTTCACGCACGTACTTTGTAATAGCAGCATCGACGTAATCTAACGTGATGTTGTTCCGCCGAAGTTCCGCGCCATGATTGTCATTCAAGATTTGAAAAGAACGTCTCAAAGTCTTCGAGTATTGAACGACATCAAAGGGTAACACGATGTCGTCAGCAATGGACATCAGAGCTCTTGCAGCGACCAGAGTTGTCGTGAGATGGTAGGAGAAGTCTGGGTCGACTAAACCTTGAAGCCACTTGTACGTGTCATGAACACTGTGGTATATTGGATACAGTCTTTCCCCATAATAAGACATATCTAACGACGGAACTCCTAGAGACAGAATTCAAAGTCGGACACAGAATTATACCTCAACTGAAATGTTTTATATTGAGATTTAAGACAAAGTCTGACCACATGGTCTTTGAGATAAAAATGTACTGAATTGACCTTTTTCAACAATGTCGTCACTCGCAGAAGGTCTGATGTCTCACATTGACTACGAAATGTACCCAAATTTCGTGAAATATCAGAAAATAAATATTTCAATAAATTCTTACCAACGAATTGGTAGAAAGTGGCATAATCCGACCCCGCACCTAGACTTGGGAACATAATTTCACCATCTTTCCCTCGCCTTTCTTCCAGCATTCTTTCATAGACCGTTTGATGCATTCCAGGGCTTTTGAAATGTGGATCTTGAACATTTTTAACAGTCTCAATGAGCGTTGTTTTCAACAGTGGAGATCCTGAAAGATGAAGCACGTAGGTTCCACCAACAGAGACGTCAACGTTAATGTAAGAGACGCCTTTTGTTGATAATGCTCGTTCGTGTTCCTCGACCCACTCGTTGGAGCCAATCAAAGCCGCTTCCTCGGCGCCCCAGCTGCAGAATTTGATAGTGCGACGTGGACGCCAACCTGTCGGTAAATAAATTGAATTTGTTAAACTTTCCGCCAGAGACAAGTCGTAGACAAGTCCTCTAAAGTCAGGTTCACACTTGGGATTTTTGCTGCAACTTTAACTGCGATTCTCTTCTTCTGATAGATGTGAACGAGTACTTAGTTCCGATTGCTCTGATATATTTGAACATCAGTAACTAATTCACTAAGTAACTAAGTCCTATTTGAACATCAGTAACTAATTCACTCGTTCACATCTATCAAAAGAAGAAAATCTAGCCTTAAGGCTAGTACTAGCAATAAACAAACTTTGCTGGTTTCATCAAAAAAATTTTATCAGTGGTTCAACCGTTCAAGTGAGGTTCAGGTTCATATCGAGACTTTAGTAGTCCATTATCTTCTCGACCCCCTAAATATCCTTATTCCCCCTCCTGTCTTACCTTGTTTCAATAACAGACTCAACCCACGTGAGATTTCCATCATGGTTGCTGTACCACTGGAAGCATCGACAGCACCGAACCCCCAAGCATCCCTATGATTCCCTATCATTACCCAACGATCCGGTTCTTCACTACCGTAAATGGTTCCGATGACGTTGTATATATCCTGTCGTGTGTTGGGAAAATTAACTTCAATTCGTATGCTATTGTTCCCCTCTATCCCCTCATCACCCAGTCTGTAGGTGATATTCAATGTGCCCTTCCAACTCGTCGGGACCTCGCTACCTTAAGAATATTCAAAAGCCAATTTCTAGATATATATTATCTACAATTATAAACTCATTAGCTTACAATAACAAGATATCATCAACTTTAGACTACCTTTCATTATTTTTAAGATGTTTACAGCGTCTCCGTAAGGCATCGGCGTCGCTGGAATTTGCGGAAGACCTGCGTCTTCGGGAGATATTCGGAACACGCCGTCGATAGACGGCAAACCAGGTGTGATCGGATCTCCACGAGTGGTGATAATGCTACCGCGTTGCACGCCGGTCTTCGGTAGCCAGATGTAGTTGGGATAAACTTTATCCTGACCTTCGGGAGCATAATCTGCTGGATCGTTGTACAAAATGGCGCCAACAGCACCGCATTCATGCGCGTTTTTGACCTGAAATAGAAGAAAAAAGATTTGAACAACGTTGAAAAGGTCATCAGAGCAATGGTGTTTTCACACCTTTATTCAGGCGAGATGTAAAGAATGCAAAACTGACATGCTACTGACAGAAGATGAAATGATTTAATTGCAACCTATATGGTCTATTGTAAACATGGTTTCCTATCGATTGATCAGTTTAATCTTTTACTAACGATCGATCGAATAGAGTGTCATACCATGGAGCCTCTGAAAATTTTTCCATATCTCATGATAGCAATGCGCCCGTTACAGTTTGGAATGCGGAAGTTTTTCTTCAGGACTTCAAAATCCTCCGTTCGACCGTAATTGACGTAGAGCAATTTGCCGCTTGCCGAACTCTGCTTCGAGTAGCCCAGAAATGGAGGAATCATTTGGTCATCATCCTCACTTGGATCTGCCAACTTTGGGACATCGAAGGAAAAAAAATAAAAAGATAAGGTTGAATTACTGGCGAATGCCACAGTAAAGTATCTTTAAGGTAATAGATTTATTCTTTTGTTAATGGGCTTGACTTACCTCTTCCTTCCCAGAAAACTCGCGTAATACTTTTCTGCCAGAATCCAGAATTTCCACTTTGTTTGAGATATTTGGATTGACGTATGGTAGAAGTACATTGTATTTTGGCATCTCAACTTCATCGAATTTATACTCCTTCCAAAGCCGGGCGATTTCGACTGCCAACTCTTTGGTTCTTGGAGTCCCTGGAACATGAGGTCGGGAAGAAAAGTACCTTTTGAAAAACGCAAAAACATGCACAATTCAGGAACGGCGATGAAGATGAAAGGTGTATTTAACGAAGTTGTCAGGATTTTGGTTTCAGGATGGGGTAACCTTTAGAATAAAAAACATAAGGTCAAGGAGGCAAGAGGACAATCAGGAGATTGCGACATACTGTATAAACAAGTCGATCTCGAGAACATACTGCCTACGAGTGTATAAGCTTGATGCTTGATCTCAGCACGTTAGTCAAGAGATGCCGAGGGTTCGACCTTTTCAGCTAAATTTCTGGATATTTACAAACAAACATCGTATAGGCATCGAATATTTTGATAACAGAAGGGTTTAATTACAAAACGGTAATAAACCGTGGCATATTGTTTAACTATTTCCGTTGCTTGTGCAAAATGTAGATTGTTTACGAGCATTAGGCTTTTATAACCTGTTGTAACTCCATCCTGATAAGCGATATAGATTATGATGAAGATAATAGAAAGATATTCTTCCTGCTGTAAGTAATGCGGGTTTCCCAGCAAGAGAGATTTATTGATCTAGCCGTCTATATGAATAATGTTAGTTAACTTACTTCAAGGACTTTCCTATCTCCTTCTTGTCCAGGGTTTTGTAAAGCTTGCTGTGATATGCATCCTTCTTCATTCCTTCCTCTTCGCGTTTTTCTTGAAATGAACGTGGTGTTTCAGGTGATTTCTCATCGTCTGGAGCAGCGAAGAAGCCGATGAGAAAACCCAAAATAAACAACGTAATTCCTGCGATCACAAGAACAGCGAGTTGTCCTCTTCTAGACAAGCCTAACACAGTCATTTCAATGCAAATCCGGCGAGCTCTTTAACGCTGAATATACCTGAACAAACTGTTACAACTAAATATAAATAGACTTCAAATTTAGCTACGGTATGACAAACTTCATTCACTTGGCCATTGCATAAATATAAGCGGTGTTTAACATGCAAATCGTCTGATATTTGATCGGGTTACATCCCAAGTATTTCAGATGTCAACAATATATTCGAGTAATCCGACAATATCTTTTCTGATGACATCTTAAAACTTCGCAGAAACGAGACTTCTTTGTCTCTAAGGGACTGTTTCTGCATATATGGATGCATAATCCTACGTATAGCCGAGATTGAAAAAGGCGAAAAATGATTTTGAGGTGTTGAAATTTGAAATGAGTAAAATAACACGATCCTGAGACGTGGTATACTATAGTCATTGTCTGCAATATATGGCTCAATAGTGTGCACACATACAGACCTGTAAAGATACGGATTTTAAAAGAAATTAATCTTGCACAACGTGAATATATGAATATGTGTCCCCCCTCCAATTATCGTCTTCGTACCCCCCTGTACACATACGTCAGACTTAATTGGAAGTTCTTCACTTCGCAGGGTTAATGGTTTGTGTTATAGAAATGGTTTTAAGCTGGATCTTCTTCAATCTTGCTCCGCAAAACATATTGAGATTTCTGAAATGATTATTATACATACCATGTCCTCCGCTGCAATAAGCAATTTTTATATGTCATTCTTCAAGCAATTTACTTGAAGTAGAATAACTAAAACAACATTCTGCTCTTTGCCTCTTTCCTAGTAAGAGTCTCGTACCCTTGAACAGTCGGAAGTCCGGCCTGATTAAAATACTGTAGCCAGCTGATGGATTTCTCTTGATCTTGAAGATAAGCGACCTTTCCGAAGAAAACTTATAAACCGTAGGTAATTGGTCGAGACATGCATTGGTCGAAATTAGACCATTTTTAATATGAGTAGAAGAATGTCAAAAAGTAAACTTTAAGTGAACTTACTTTATTGATATACACGTTAAAAATCTACAATTATGTTACCTGTATATAGATAACTATATATAGGGTATAAGTATATATAAAAATAATTTCATAACTAGTCAGTATACAACGATTCAATGCAGTGATTATAGGACGTGTTGAAAGATCTTTGCTATATTTTTATCCTTTCTACAATCAAAATTCGCTTTTCCTTTTAGTACTTTTCCCGTTTCATGGCACTCGAAACCTAATCTGGGATATTTTATAGCATTTACCATCAAACCGTATTCTTCGGAAAATTATTTTGCAAAAACTGTCAGGCTATGAGAAGTATTTAAAAATAAACCAGAAAAAACGTTTTAAGCCAGTTACATCACAACATTTCACAAATCAATTACTTGTGTTCAATTCTTTTTGTTCAAACATTTACTCGGTTATTTTCGTTGCTGTATCTTTGCAACCGAGATTAAAAAACGCAAGATGCCACTGCTAGATGTTGTTGTTTGCGCCACATTCTGTCAGCAAAAAATTGGTTATGCTTCTCCATACATGAAGCCCATTTCCATTCTTTCACAAATTTTAGATTTTCCTTTCAGTATTTAGTTTTCGCAGTAGTTTAGGCAACTAAAACTGATTTCTGCTTTACACGCTTCAATGCTTTTCTTGACGCGAGATGTTTTCCATATTCGAAGTTTTCTTTTTTCCATGTTGTTTTTTCTGCAGCTTTATTGTATACTATACATGTCCTTGTATATTATGATTGAATATATGTTAACGATGGATTCATAACTGTTATAAAGACTTAAGATTGGACCCAAATTCCGTAGCAACTGTATGTTGTTGTCGATAATTCTTCACAGTTTATATATCAGAAGTTTATATTCAGATGTACTCTCCTATACATCGATGTTTGAAACCCATCATGAGGTACCATTTATATAGGAACGATATATAACTTTGACATATTTGCTTCCATTACCTTCAATCGGGGTAAAATTGACGGTATATATATCCACAGTTAGTACAGATTCGATATCACATGTCAATCGACGAAACGATGAACACCGAGTAGCTACATAACCACCATCCAATCGGTAAAATATGTTGTTGTTTAAAATGTTCTTGATCACATAAAATGCTTTGTAGAATGTTGTGATTCAACAAATTATATAAAACATTTGAACACATGCAACTGTAAAGATAATTTCATAGCCCGGCTGGTTTTTTACTCGGGCTACCGTAGGTAGAGCGAGTTGAAAAATGGGCTCAGTTTTTACTTTTGCGTCGCGAGTTTACGAAAATCAAGCGTGGGCGTTACAAGCTCAAGCGAGATAGCTGTAGCCCGAGTGAACGTCTTGTTTAGCAAAAATCGGGACCGCAAATTTAAAGTACAAAGCGTTCCAGCATATCTCAACATAGACCATGCACTGTTTTGCATCGTTGTATCTTCTACATAATAATAACATTAACGGTATTGACCTGACTTTGACAAATCAGCTAATGATGATTTTCAGTCATATTTAAGCAGTGATATCTAATCTATGTGCCTATCTCTTCCGAGCCGATGAGGTAAAAATAAATAGAAAATACTAAAAACTAGTTTACTATATATACATTGCATTCAAAAGCTAAATATCGTTGCTAAGGCTCATGTGAAATCAATGTTTCATATTATAGCAACATGATTATACATGCATCGATAATTAATAAAGTTAATCACGTCCGAAAAATGAATTTATAGAGAATATAACAACTCTACATATAGGTAAATACATATATATATAGAAAACTAATCTACAACAATACCATACAGAGCAAAAAACAACTTCCAAACGTCTTCATATAGGAAAAGGGAACCAACAAACAATCGGGTTGCTTATCGCCGAGTGCATTCCAACCGAGTCAGCAAACGTGATGGTTGATTGAAGGACCAGTAAGGTGGGTTTGATCATCGGTAAGACCAAGGAAATGTAAACAGCAACTTGTAGTTGAGTTTGTGGTGTTGCATAATTTATATGTGTAAGAATATTGAAACGTTTTTGTGCATTATAAATGTCAGTCATGCATGTCTATATATGCTGCAGGAATATACTGTATGACTGGACTATTTTTATATAACTGGAGTGCATCTATACCTTTATTCAGAGATGATGTAATCTATACCTTTGTTCAGTACAATATGGAAGAAAATTGGTTGTGTATGCAGGCTTTTAGTTTAAAAGTTCTAAATGACGTTTCCCGTTTGTAACACAACGTTCGTGCGATTAAAATGTGTGACATAATTATGAACTGAAGAACGTCTCTCATGTTTATTTCACTGTTTTGTATTACGTATAACCGGTAACGGTTCAGAGTCTAGCTATTTACAAGTCGTATTCATCCATAAGCTGTTCTTTCGCTTTTTTGAAGGAAATGAACTTCCAAGAAAAAGGACTGTCAGACTTGGCATCATGTTTCTGTGCCAGTTCTTTTGAGAAGGTTGCCATAAACCACTTCCAATACAATGATGATTTGAGTGATTTCTCACCAGTAATTTCCCACGATTTGTAATAATCATTGACAGAACGATACTCCTTGTACGGGTGCTTTTCCAATAATGTATCCAGGTTTAGAAATGTCTTGTCTCCAGTGACACACTCTGTGCAAATATTGGTGCTTAATTTCTCAGTCACGTTCTTTATACCAAAAATTCCCATTGGACGATGGGATTTCGTAGAATGCGTGGTATGATTAGGCATGCTTTCATCACACAAAGCGTTGCAAAATGGGCAAATAGATTGACAGGAAAACATCTTTTCAAACAACGAATTCAGCGATCCACACCAAATGTGAATGGTCGCAAGATCAACATCACGAGTGGTTAAAGTTTCAAAATGATTTTTTACCTTTTCGTCAACTGTTTGAATGAACACGTCGACATCATTCCGATCCTCAATGGCGGCCACAACAAACATTTCTTTCTTAACAACGAGTAATGTAAAATTTTCTACAAACTGGTCAATCCAAGACGTCAATTTCTTGTCTCCACTCTCTCTGCCCTTGTTGGCGAGTAAAATAGCACTTTTAACTTCCTCTCTTATCTTTTTGACTTCTTCTTGAAAACATGAGTTGATGAAAGGCAGGATTTCACTTAAACAGTAGTCTTTAATTGATTCCATAAATTTTTCTCTCAAAAATTCAACAGGATTGTCAAGATATGGAATGTACGAGGCAAATTCACCCTTCTCCATGAGTTCAATGAGGACTTTAGCATGAAAACGACCTTTGCTCTGGAAATCGTTATTTTTCAAAACTTCTCTTGTCACTATAAGACCCATAGCTGACTCCAGCGCCGAATCGATTTGCTTTTTAAGTACTTCAAAGAGCGAAATAGCAACCAACTCTTGTTCTTTGTTTGGGTGTATCTTTCCAATACAGTATCTTGCTAATGATGGCTTCAGTTGTTTTTCTAAGTTACCTCTAATATCACGTTCTTTTACAAAGCGCTCATGCATCTTTAGAAAAAAATTGTAAGATTGGGCAAAAGCATTTTGCAAGATGTTATATTTTGCAGAATTTTTAAAATTAAAGCAATCAGTAGCTTCTTCATCTATGGTGGTAAACACGATGTAGTACAATTCTTCAAGGTGATGCTGGGTAAACCCATTACCAGATTCTGATGCATTCTTGGCATAATTTAATGATTTAGTGATAACAATTTTATTGATCTGTTTAGCACAAAGAACACAAAGTCTCTGAGTTTTACGCTTGTTGAATAAATTCGTAAGAAGGTTCATGTTGTATATAAGATCATTAATACCAATAACCACACTACCCTTCACAGGGATTGATATGTTCCCGATGTTTTCCGTTTTTAATAGAACAGAATATTTTTTAGTAAGGAAACTGACCATTTCCTCCTTGATGTCAATTTCCTTTTCCTGTAACAGTGGGACATCTTTCATCCATTCTAGCCATGCTTTTTCGAAAAGATCTTCCAATTTTTCTGGAGCTTCATCTTTATAAGTTGAGGAAAACACTTTAGCTTTTGCCGTGATCTTCTCTTCATAGGATGTTCTTTCTTCTTCAATATCCTGAAGTTTCTGAAAATACGAGTAGGTTTTGAAACATTCATTCATTACCTTAGTCTCTTGATTTTTCTCCTCTGTCGCAATTTTTTTCCATATTTCCTCTCGCCACTTCGCAAGAATTGCATTATCTTCATCTTTTTCAAAAAAAGCATCCATTTTTTCTTTCATTTTATCTCCAAATTCACGCGCTTTCTTTCTTATTTCACTTTCTATTTCATCCCATTTCTTCTCTCGTTCATCCCGCGTGGAGCAATTTTCCAAAGTTATGCCAATATTTATTTTAAGTTCGGCCATTCCCGTGTCCATAACAGTCGTTGATATTGTGAAATACTTTTCGTCTAAAGACGTTCGGGCTCTGATTTCGCTTGCATTCTGAAAACTGAATATGAAATTTTCCTTAAGAATTGCTTCCCACAGCATGACTACCCTGTTTCGAAAATAAGATACAGAAAAGCGAGGAATTTCTTTTGAACACATTAGAGTAGTAATGCCCCTTTTGATTGTTTGACAATATTTTCCGTATTTAGGATTCACTGGAGCCATTGGCGGATTTCCTTCCAGAAGGGAGGGTAAATAGAACACGTCTTCGTTTTCATTGAATGAAATGATATCATTAAATTTGTTATATTTGTCATCACATTTTTCTTGAATTGCAGCAAGTTTCGTCATTTTATCCAGACTTTCTATCAGGGTTGAACGCTTGTCCTTCAATTTAACATTAGCGTCCAGGGCTATAACATTGTGGTGGACAATTCTGCAAGATATCTTCTTCATTTGGACAAGCTTCATCTTCAAAAATGCGAAGACAGCTATCTCCAAGAACTCTTTCATCTCACTTGGATTTTCACCCATAATATTCACTATAGTTACATCGGCTAAACCAATCACGAAAGTCGCCAGCTCATTGTCATGTTCTCGCGTGAGGGGATCTCCAGATCCTCTCAGACCTTCAGTATCAACGATCAAAACAAAGTCAAATTCTGAAGCTGACTTGAGTGAATGACTGACAGGGAGAAGAGTTGCAAAAGCTCCACGAGTACACCTCCCAGCACTGACTGGAAATTCTAAACCAAACATTGTGTTTAACATTGTCGACTTACCTGAACTTTGGATTCCTACAACAGAAATTACAAATATTTTCGCATTTTTTGTTTTCTCCTCTAGTTTAGCAAACACAGCTTTGAACCATCGGAGTGGAATGTAAAAGGAATCGCCATCCAGTATCTCAAGAGGTTGTCCTGAAAGCAACATGTCTGCTGCAGCACCTGCATAGTCGTTTGTGTGAAAATCCGAGAGTTGGTACAGTTGCGCAAGTTCCCTGATGATATGTTCTACTCCAAACGAGAAGTTTTCCGGCTGATCGTTTTGAGCCTGATGCTTCAGTGACATCTTATTCAACTGTCGCTTCAACCTATCCAGGGCTTTGTTTCTTTCGAATTCGTTCATCATTGCAAAATAATTGAAAGAGTCGCGAATATTTGTATCAAGGCTTTCAAAGGAATTCTTTTGAGCTTTCTCATTTTTATGAATCTTTTGATATATTTTTTCTTTTTCCTCCGTTGTAATTGTGTTACCATCACTTTTTGGACAATGCATTTTGCGTTCCAACTTCGCTAATTTTGAAATGTGCGTTTGCAACTTCATGCGACTTTTGGCTTTTTTGATTCCATCTTTTAACCAGTTGTCCACAGTTTCCCCAAATTGTGTAACTTGTTGATCGTCATCAAATGAAATACCATACTCACGAGCATCTTGTGCATGGTCCGCTAAAGACTTTGGCTTCACGTCTTGAATATTCTTTTGGATATTTTTTTGGATTCGCTGAAGGAACTTGGGTTTGTTTTTGTTCACTATTAAAGAGATCTTATTATCATGCGTTTCTTTTAAATCTTTGAAATCTTTCTTCTGTTCATTATCCTGTATTTTTTGGGGGAAAATAAGAATGGTTTTTATCTTCCTCTGAGCTATTTCAGTCACAATTTCTTTCACAGTTTCATCTGGACTCTTCATGATCATAGGTAGTATTATACATACTACGGATGAAATCTTTAAAAGAACATCGCGCTGCGTCTTAAACATTCCAGCGTCTCCTCTAAGATTTGCAAAACAAATTTCATGTTGTAGATATTGTGTTTGCTCCTGATCTTGTCCAGGTAGATACCAGATCAACTCTACCAATCCATGAACAATTTTCCTTGTGATGCCACCACCCCTAACTTCACTGTTGAAAAAGTATTGATGAGCTGTGCTCCCGTCACTCATAATTTTATTAATCAAGGATGATTTCGACATTTCAGGTCTGCCGATGCGGATAAAGGAAACCACAGGAAATGGATGTTCCGTAACAAATGCATTTATTGGGCCTGAACCACTATTCCAACACTTTGTGATGTTCTGCAAAGCTGATAGCAACATTGTGATGTTTTGAGAAGGCGCTGCGGGATCAGGAAGAAGAAACGGAACGCTAAGCTGACATTCAGACAATTTTACAGCAAAATAACGTCGCAAAAAATTATCGGAACAATAAAAAACTGCCAGCAATGCATCCATTGAACTGATATCAAGAACGTCATCTTCATCACTGCTGTCATCGGAGCCGTCATTACTTTTAGATTCAACCCTTATTTGATGTGGATTAGCTTCCCCCGTAATAAATTCACGGACATGGTAATCAACTATCATTAGTTTATTAAAAATGTAATTGGGTAGTTGATCTAAAGACGTTAGTTGATCGTCGCCTAATGTATGGTTATCAATTGTTCGAGCACGTTTTAAAGTTAAGTTTTGATTAGGATTTAAGTTAAGATCATCCCAGAGTTTTGTGAGTGCATTATTAGTGTTTGTGTTTGTATCTTGTGTGTTTGTGATCTCAGCTGCACTAGTTGTCATTTTTGAACCTTCAGAATTGCCCTTTTGTTCTGGTTGATCCTCCCCAGTTTTGAACCTGAGAGAATTTATAGTGGGTACTGCGAATAGAAAACAGGAAATCAAACATTAATTCGATATTTTGTTTCAACTTTCAATTATTTGATAGGCAAAAAATACGAAAAGATTTCCTCTACTGAGGCCCCGTCTATATATACTCGTTTTCATTTGCATGTATGGTCGATTGATTGCATGGAGCTGCTGTTAAGTGTTACAAACGATAACAAGGTGTCAAAGCATCGAATGGGAATCAATCCAAAGCTTAAGACCGTCGTTTTAAATAGTCTTCGTTTTCAAACCATACTAATATGACGTGTACGCGTTTTCAATTGCATTAACTTTTTGAAACTATTATTTCTCTGTTCCGGTTAAGAATTTTTTATCAAGTAGAAAAGTTTTGATGTGGTTCAGAAGTATTAAAATCATATGAAACGACTTTTTAATCTGTGTAAAATCAGTGCAAATTAAGAATACGCTTAGGTGCTTTTGTAAAATACACTAGCTATATTTGCCGTTCATTAACAACAACAGGTAGAGTGGAAGGAAAACGTAGATTCATTAAAGAGCATTTTAATGTCACGATAAACAAAGAAATTAAGACTCAAAAGCGTTCAATAATCAAATAATTAGCAGCGCACCTTACATAAGAAGAATAATGACAGTCAATATCAAACTATGCAAACTCATATACATTAGGACCTGTTTACATTATACCGGTTCGCATAATCACGATATCAATAAAACTATGGCAGACTGATCAGAGGGAGATTTACCCCCAAAAGTATGACAGCATGACTGATTTAATATAACATGATCTTCCAAATAAATAGACCACAATAACGCCCTAATAGACCCAATGTTTTGTCAGATTTTTCCCTGTATTCGCCTAGAGGCATTTGGGCATGGTATGCGCCAACTCTGTGTCCAAAGCGGTCTTGCATGGCTGGGCGTGCAATATCGGCTTTAACAATCGCCTTCAAATAACTTTTGGCTTATTCGACGATATTCAAATACGGTGGCAATACCCGCAAGTGAATCGGTTTTCTCTTTGCTGTCCAGGGGCAGATGTGCAAGTGCACCGTCAAAAATGAGATACTGCTGACCTTGTTCGTTAAGGTGGTCATTGTGTCCTTGAAAATTTAGCGAATGCTTTTCTGGTCATTCAATGCAACCACCCTAATTGTATGATGTACCAAACCAAAACGATGGGTAACACCGCCAGACAAATGGTGATATTCCTTCTGGCCTATGAGAGCACGTCAATGGCTTCTGCCGGGTCCAGATATTCAAGCCATACTCGTCTATGAAAACCGTATTATGAATGTTTGCTTTTTCAACGAGCTGGTTATCATAATCGTGGCGTCGTTCTATGACATCTCGTCTATTACGGTCTACTGCGAATTTCAACGAATACAACTACCATCCAAATGTCTCACACTCGTTCAGGCGTTAAGATGGATCTATGTTTTCCTGTATTAAAACTCCACCTGTTGTTAATGAACGGCAAATAGCGTACAAAAGAAAAAGAAAGTGGGCCTTTTTTTGCAAGAAAACTGTCATCAATTAAAAATAAGAAACAATTCCAAAATAATTTAACCTATACACCCAAAATATTAGTCCCAAATAACACCCTTTAAAGTTGACTTGAACTTAAAGGTAATAATTGTTTAATATTTTCAAGGCAGAAAACTATTATGAAGTATAAAAAGAACAACAACTGTTTGCGTTTTTAACGATATACTTGTAATCTCATACCATTCTCTGCTTCTCCACTTGCTATGTCGTCATGTTCTTTTGGGGGATTTTTTAAATTTCCCCCGTCTCCTTTTTTTTCCATGTTTCCACTTTTCCTGTTCTTTTAACTCTAAAATAGAATTCAGGTCCTTCTCGTAATGTACAGTAGGAGTAGAAACATGCATGGATAATTAAATAAATGGACAGGATATTATTTATTGTTTTCATCATTGTGATAGCCTTGAAGCCTGTGAGGTTTTCGTGACGTCCTCAAATAACTGCACGTTCAGCAATAATAGCTACAGCTCAAAATATAGTGAACAAAAAGCAAAAAATATAAACGCCATGCTACGCCACGCCTTGCCGGAGGTTATATAGGTTATATAAGCTTTAAGAAATAAGTTTATAAACTTAAAGTCGTCAAACAATTTAAAAATCTAACAATCTACATCTAACAATCCCAATGCTAAAAGGATCTTTCCATCATAGCATTTAACAAATAAATCAATGACGAATAATACATACTCGTGTTTAAGAGCAGATTAGGGTTAGGTAGTCGTCTGAATTATTAAATAAATTTAATGAACGAGCCTATATATTTACCTTTCAAGGATGCGGTGTGTGACGGTAATTTATTATCAAAGTCAATTTCAGTTGCGATGGGGCTATGTTTGCGAGGGATTTAGTTTAGCAAAAAGGCAAAATAATCGGCACGATTTTCTTACAAAGTCGCACCGGAACAGGGATACCGCGCAGCGGCAATTCATGAATTGCAATGGATGAGGGTAGGAACTGCGGTGAAATATTGTGTTATGATATAAAAATGATATTTATCGGTTTTTTAGTCCAATTAACTAAAATAACAACCAAACCAGTAATGTAAGCCAGTAAAATCTTAGCAGCCTCCATGTAAACGAAATACTTACAATTACAAGTTTCCTCTTGGAAAAAGATCATGCAGACAAAACAAACAAGATATCGATGGAATAACCATGATTCGAGAAACAATATATGATCGATAAATATCAAAGATCATCTCACGTTTCAGGCCAAACACGCAAGCCCTCTTTACATCAGACGCCGAGAGTTATGTAAATAATGTAATTGCCGAAGTATTTGACATTGTGTTTTCTAGACGACGAAAGGTAATTATATTTTTACAGAAGGAATTGATCCATGAAAATTATTATGTCAAAAGTGAAAGTTGCTCTGTACTGTAAGTTTCCAGCTGTGCTGCTAGATTTAAGTATTGTTTATTGTTCATGAAGACAGGCATAAATGTTCACGAATTTTATAGAGAATGTTTAGAAACCTAAAACCTTCAAACAATTCAAAAATGTAACAATCCAGATGTTGAAAAGAGCTTTTCGTCATCAATAATCATTATCGTGGATGATTCATTGCATGACTTATTTTGCTGGAATTTAATATTCTTCTACAACTTTCACTTTTCACAAAGGCTAAGTCATGGACCAATTATTTCCTTTGAAAATGATTAATCAACATTCAACTTGCTTTGAACAGTTGGCAATGCATACAAACTATTTGCACAGTGTATAAGGAACACGAGTAAAGTAGAGTTGACTCAACAATCATTTCTCCCGGAATGACCTCAATTTTGCCTGTTCAACTCTTTTAAATCTATTTATACATCTATAACAGCCTTTTCGCTATTTACCTTTCAAGGCGTGAGAGTAATTTATTACCAAAGTCAATTTGAGTTGTGAGGGATTTAGTTTAGCAGATCGAGGCAAAATAATCAGCACTGTTTTCTTACAAACAAAATTGCTTCTGAACACAAAGATACCGCAACAGTGTTCACGATCAGCTATGCACGATAACGATTGCATTTATAATGAATGCTTTACTAGTCAAATTATGCACTATTACAACTGAGCCGATAATATTAGTGCTGAAAAAAGCATTCGGAATAAAGAATTGCAATGGATGAGTCATAAAAACTGCGGTGATATATTGTGCTATAATATGACCATAAGAATATTTATCAGTTTTTAAAGGTAGGTCTTTAAAATCTTAGCAGCCTCCATGTAAACGAAATACTTACAATTGCAAGTTTCTTCTTTGAAAAAGATCATGCAGACAAAACAATCAAGATGGAACAACCATGATTCGATAAACAATATATGATCGATAAATATCAAAGATCATCTCACGTTACAATTTTTCAGATATTAATGTTTCAGGCCAAACACGAGCTCTCTTTAAATCAGACGCCGAGAGTTATGTAAATAATGTAATTGCCGAAGTATTTGGCATTGTGTTTTCTAGACGACGAAAGATAATTAACTAATCCATGAAAATTATTATGTCTAAAGTGAAAGTTGCTCTGTTCTGTAAGTTTCCAGCTGTGCTGCCAGATTTAAATATTGTTTATTGTTCATGAAGACATGCAGGTATAAATGTTCACGAATTTTATAGAGAATGTTTAGAAACCTAAAACCTTCAAACAATTCAAAAATGTAACAATCCAGATGTTGAAAAGAGCTTTTCATCATCAATAATCATTATCGTGGATGATTCATTGCATGGCTTGTTCTGCTGGAATTTAATATTCTTCTACAACTTTCACTTTTCACAAAGGCTAAGTCATGGACCAATTATTTCCTTTGAAAATGATTAATCAACATTCAACGTTTAATTAAGCTGCTACAATACTTGAACAGTTGGAAATGTATACATATATATCATTTTTGACATATAGAGAGATCTGATTGTCTTTCTTCTCTCGCTTTATTGAAAAAGGACCTCCTTTGCCGCTTTCATTTGATCAACTACATCTAAGCAGTTCTTTCGACGTTATTTTATTATCGAGGACCAAAGTTACGATATATCAATATATATATCAATATATGTATATATTCGCCAGGTATGCATGCATGACCGTTGGGAATATTAGAAATGCATTCCCTGATTTTTACGCTGGAAATTCGTTTAAGCCTTAATATTTCTTATTATTTCTGTTTTTTATAGAACAAAGGCCATGCAATTGCTGTATTGAAGACAAATAAAGTACTTTGAAATTGATGGTATGCTTGCATATACAAACTATTTGAACAGTGCAAGTTTTCCTTGACGAATTTATTTGCTCGTGCGTTGGCTACGCGAAAAAAGTCAGTTTCCTTGAAAAGGAACCTTGTTCCAAAGCTAGAGATGCCAGCTTTTCAATTTGGAAAAATGCTCCTGTGTACGACCGTCAAGGAAAACTTTGACAAGGAATTGCGCAATAATATATCTTCGAGGGGGGGGGGGGGGTTATCATTTTGTTTGTTTTGAGATTCGGTCGTATACTCATTTTTTATCATGGCTCATATTATCGTAAGACTTGCCAAGAAGAATTTGTCAAATTCTCGCGTACACACGAGCAAATAAAACTTGGCAAGGAATGAAGGAAAACTTGCCCGTCTGTACGGGGCTTAATTTCTCCCAAAATTACCTTATGCAATTTTACCTTATGATCTGAATAGCACAAGAGTAATCAAGCATTTGAAATAAACGACAAAAATTTTAATTGCAAACATGTTTTGACTTAACTATAAGCCATCTTCAGTGCGAATGAATTAGTTATTTACATTATGAAATATATAAAGTAGAAATATGATGCAGGCGAGGTGATACTCGATGAATAACATAATTATTTACAACAATGATTGACAACATAGCGAGATATACAAGTTATGCATAATAAGTAGAACAACACGATAGACAAAAATTATAACTAAAAAATAGTATTAAAACCTGTTTGTTAAGATCTGGTTTTGTGTTTAGGAATGTACAGAGCCTCCTTGAGGTTTGAGAGAGAAGGAAGTGTTAGCAGTGTCTAGGATAGCGAAGCAAGAGCGGGTGTATTTAGATTTGCAGTTAGGGTTTTGTTAGTGTTTATAGACGTGTGAGTTTTTGCCAGTGGGGTGTGTTCTTTGACCCTTGTGGCGTGATCAAAAACTCACACGTCTACAAACATTAACAAAACCCTAACTGCAAATCTAAAAACACCTGCTCTTGCTTCACTATCCTAGACACTGCTAACACTTCCTTCTCTCTCAAACTCAAGGAGGTTTTGTACATTCGCAAACACAAACCAGATCTTAACAAACAGGTTCAGCATTTTAATACAATTTTTCAGTCATAATTTTTGTCTGTCGTGTGTTTCTACTTATTATGCATATCTTGTATCCTATTATGTTGCTAATCATTGTTGTAAATAATTATGTTATTCATTGAGTATCACCTCGCCTTTATCATATTTCTACTTTATATATTTCATAATGTAAATAACAAATTCATTCGCACTGAAGATGGCTTATAGTTAAGTCGAAACATGTTTGCAATTAAAAATTTTGTCGTTTATCTCAAATGATCAATTTTACCTGTTCAACTCTTTTAAATCTATTTATACATCTAACAGACTTTTCGCTATTTACCTTTCATGCGCGCAAAGCGTGACGGCAATTTATTACCAAAGTTAATTTGAGTTGTGAGAGATTTAGTTTAGCAGAGGCAAAATAATCATCACTGTTTTCTTACAAACAAAATCGCTTCTGAACACAAAGATACCGCAACAGTGTTCACGATCAGCTATGCATGATGGCGATTGCATTTATATAACTATTGCTTTACTAGCCAAATTACGCACTATCAACAAATTACGCACCATAATGTGCTGAAAAAAGCTTTCGGAGTAAAGAATTGCAATGGATGAGTCATAGGAACTGCAGTGATATATTGTATATATTGGTTACCCATTTCCAGAGTATTCCAGAACTCAAATGTACGATTAATGTAATAATTTTAAAGGCATAACATAAGAAATGTTTATGTATAACCGGAAACGTAAATTGACGATGAATCATGATTTCTCTGTCGCCTAATTTCAGTGGTTCCACTGAGAAAGATAATGGGAGGAGGGGGATATATTCTTGTTCTTTCAGTTGAAATTGTTCTTACAGCATGTGAACAAGAATATGAGAATATTTTGGGCGCGATTGCCTAATTTCGGCGGTTGAATCATAGGCGGCACTGCCTTTTTTTAGACTAAATAAATCAATTTTATACATACTAATCCTTTTATAGCTTGCGGCAAGGCGGCGTTACTGTGTTTGTCGCACGATGGTCTGTATATTTTATAATATCTTATAAATACAATGCAATAACATCACAAAAACTAAAGCATATTGATCATAAATGATTTCACTACATTCATACGAAAAACAACAAATTATGGGCCGCCTATATAGTTGAATTTCCTAGATTTCGATTTACAACAAATACATGGATAGATTTTATTATCATATTATACTTTAAACACGTAAACCTCACCCGAAACCACATCAGTGGCGCGGGTGTTGTTGCTTGCTTCAAATCAAGAAATGACCAATTTTGACGAGGAAATAAAATGTACTCTTAAAGACAAATAGAGTCCTATAAAGGCACATATATATGTGATATGCGTCATCTTCGTCTTATAACTGCTTAGGTGTTTCGTAAATGAGCTATTAAAACAGCATGAAGTTTTCTCAACACTCATTTTTCCCGAAATGCCATTAATAGTTATAAATATTAGCCCGACAAAACTGACAATTTTAATTTTAATTTCATCATATGGGTAATACCTCTCTTCAGGCGCCCAATAGTTACATCTTTGCAAGTGGGATTCACAGAGATGGAAAAGATGGAATATAGAGAGCCACCCAAAGACAGATCAATAACGCCTGCTAAACATGCCAGTTTTGCAAATAAATCGGCAAAGTATACCTTGCAGGAAGCACGAACATTCCATGATCACACAATAAACGACCGTACATTAACGTGCCCTGATCAAATACCTGAATATATATTTAAGAAATTAATGATAGTTGATTATCGTGTACGCGAGTTTAAATTTAAACCTTTAACATCGGATGAAAATAAAGTAAGAAGTAGTTATAACTCAGATAGTAGTGAAGATGAAAGCAGTGATGAAGATGTTCCTTCAGAGGACGAAGTCAATCCTATGGATGCCTTACTTCGTATATTTCGGTGTTCAGATAATTCTTTACGACGTTATTTTGCGGTGAAATTGTCTGAATGTCAGCTTAGCGTTCCGTTTCTTCTTCCTGATCCCGCAGCGCCTTCTCAAAACATCACAATGTTGCTATCAGCTTTAGAGAACATCACAAAGTGTTGGAATAGTGGTTCAGGCCCAATAAATGCATTTGTTACAGAACATCCATTTCCTGTGGTTTCCTTTATCCGCATTGGCGAAAATACCTTGTCAAAATCATCCTTGATTAATGAAATAATGAGTGACGGGAGCATGGTTAAAAAATTCTTCTTCCATAAAGATATGGAAGGAGGCTACGTCAAAAGGAAAGATGTTGATGGGTTAGTTGAATTGAGCTGGTATTTTCCTGAAAAGAGTACAAACAAAATAGTTCCACATGAAATTTGTTTCGCAAATCTTCGAGGAGACGCTAGTAATTTTAAGAAACAACTAAATGTCCTTTTGAAGATATCGTCTGTGTTATGTATAATACCACCCTCGAAGCCGTCAGACGTACTAGTCACAGATATTTTGAACACAGCAACCAACAGCGTACCGAAGGTCATTCTTATCTTTAATGAAAACAAATACATGGAAGACGAAGGTTTAAAAGCCAAATACGGTGGGAAGTTGTTCTCGTTAACGAGGAAAAGCACATCCAGCCACTCTCGTTTTATCCAGAGAACCCGAGACAATATCCAAAAGAATATAAGAGAACTTGGAGAAGTGAAGGCAATTCCGTTGAAAGAACTTGCATCTTTCGCACTTGAATATGGCGTCCATCTTGATCAATCACGTTCAAGATTGGAGAAGAGCGTGAACACTTGGCTAGAAATGGGCCTTAAAGAAGCAAAAGATCTCATGAAGTTGCAAAAGCATATCCCAGTATTTGCAAAATTAGAACGCAAAAGAAATCATTCAAAACTTCAGATTAGCGATTGGTCTAAAATTAACCACACCGAAGGAGATGCTCTTGACGTCTGTAAAGATTTTCAAGCAGAAAAAGAAGCCCAAAGAGCCTCTTTGATACAACTAGATAAAAGAGTTCTTACCTTGCTTAATTTTATTGCAATGTTGGATGAAAGTGAACGAAACAATGCCTTAAATGAATTGAAAAATAAGTTGGACAAAATGTCCCTACGGTTTATGACGAATGAAAGC